CCTTTCTGATTGTGTAGAAAGAGTGAAAGTCCCGGATGAGAGGCTTGGCCGGTGTTGGGTACCCGCAGTGCCCGAACTTCGTTCGCACTTTCTTTTCTGTTTTAAACTCGCAAACTTCATTATAGCTACGGGCTTCGATGGCAACAGTCCCCCGGTCATCGGGACACCATTGCTCGCTCATAGGGTGCACGAATAACGACAGAAAGCGTCGAATACTGCCCGAGGACTTATGTAGCTTGCGAGGAATCCAGCTAGGCGAGAGCGGCTGCAATGTCTTGCAATGCAATGTCGGGATCACGTAGAAAGCTCCATCGCTTTCCATACGACCCCGGTTTCAGGCGGCAGTGGATTGCGTCCGTAAACCGAAAAGGCGTTTCCTCAACGCGAACCTCTCGACTGTGCTCGGAACATTTTGAGAATGGAGCACGCACCGAACGCTGTACCGCCGATGAACATGGGGTACGCTCCCAAGGTGCGTGCGAGTTTTCTCGTGATAACTTCTGTTTGAGCTTGTGAAATTTTGTAACTGAATATATCTTAATATTGATCATTTTCAGTGGTGACTGACTCGATTTTATCATCTACAACACTTAGTTGAAAGCTCGTTTCCGCCGCCGGGTGAGGCTGGAAATTTTTGAAATGGTAGTTCTATCGGTTTTCCTCAGTCGCGATCTCCTGCGTGATACCAGAGAGCCGGCAAAAGAGCTCCTTGGAGCCATGGCGCTGGTATGTTGTTTCCTTTGATTGGGCGATCTGAAACGCCGGACAGTCGCTGCAGGGTACGTCTCGTGTGTTGCGATCTGCGTTTTCAAGCCCAGTGTGCAAGTTTCTTTGTTCGAGTCATGGCATCCGTCAGTTAGGCGACGGGGGGAACAGCGGCAGCGAACGTGCCAGCGATAGAAATTGGAGGTGAGTATTCAAACTATTGCATCAAATAGTAAAATTATTCGTGGCTGCTTTGAGACTTACTGCGGTTTCATAAAAGTGCATCTAGAACGTCCTCGTCGTTCATCCACAAGGAAATATAAGAACACGGACACGAAGATAAAAGCAGCGCAGCAAAACGATCAGTAGCAGCTCCGGGTGTCTACAAAAGTTAATTGAGGTTCCCGTTTCGTGTATCGCTTGTTGATTACTAAAAATGGCTACGTTGAAATAGGCTGATTGCAAGGAAAAATTGATAAATGGTTCACCATTTCCAGTCATGCGGAATGCGATGCAGCTTAAAAAACATTACAGCCGCACTCGCCTTGCCGGTTTCCATGCAAGCTACATAGGTCCTCGGACAGTATTCGACGCTTTCTGTCGTTATTCGTGCACCCTATCGCCCAGCAATGGTGTCCCGATGACCGGGGGACTGTCACCATCGAAGACCATGACTCTAATTAAGTTTGGGAGTTTGAAACGTAGGAAAAAGCGGGAACGAAGTTGGGGCACTGCAGAAGCCCAACACCGGCCAAGCCTCTCATCCGGGACTTTCACTCTTTCTACACAATCAGAAAGGAGGAAAGCGCCGGTAGCCCTTTCCCCTTTTCTCTCTCGCTCTCAAAATGGCGCTACCCACGATAAAACGGTCTATACCCTTTGCAACGGGCGGTAGCTTGCGCCACCCAACCTAAGTCTAAAAAAAAAAAAAAAAAACATGATTCCTCCTGCCCTTTTAAGCCAATTTTCTTACACAAGAAAAAAAACATTCACATTCCCTCTCTTTCGAACGCGATTCAGGACACAGCTGCAAATCATTTTGTGTAAAACGCAAAACAAATGCGCGCCACTTCCAAAAAAAAAAACAAAAAAAAAAAAACATAACAGCACCCTTTGATGACTTTGTGCAAAACTGCTGCGCCACAATAACATTTCCAAGGGCGCGCAGGAGGCATGCGCCTCGTGTATCGTCGCAGCTGGGGCTTACGATCGGAGATGCGAACGAACGGGTACAGCAGCTTGTCTGCACTCCTGAAAACAACTCGACTGGCGAACACACAGCGGAACGAATTCCACAAAGATATATATCGGTGCCTCTACGATCTTATTTGATTCTAGGTGAGATCATTTCGGTCCTTATATCACATTACATAGTCAAAAAAGACAGTTTAAGAAACGAAGGGCATGGCTTATCGTGTTCACGCCCCTTGTTTCGGGACTGGCTCTTGGGCGTTCTCATCAACTGATGCTGCAATCTGATTGGTTGCAGAGAAATAATGAGATGCCCCGGCTTTGCCACGCCCTGCGTTTCTTAAGCTGTCCGGGACTGTGCGGAACGCAAGCTCGTCTGCCTCTTGTATAGGAGCTGCGGTGACGTCAGAACGACGCCACGCTCTGATTGGCTCTGATTGAAAGGATTGTGGGTAAACCTCAGTGTTGGATGAATTAAATTCTACCCACTATATTGTTTTCTCAATCAGCCAATAAGAGCTTAGCGTTCTTACATCATCGCAACATCTGTGGAAGAAGCAGACGAGCTTGCGCTTGCATAGGTTGCACCAGAGCTATATATACGGGGAGAGCATCCTCTAATCCATAGAGTTATTAAAATGTACACTAGAGGTTCAACAGGCGGCGGTGTCTATGGGACTTCCGGTTTCAAATTGAAGCCGGCAGCAAATAGTCCACCTTCGCAGTGCTCCACCGCATTCCTATGGGATAAACGGGCATGCATTTCGTCTCTTCGCCGGACAATAGCATAAATAACCTTTGCTATTTGGGTCGTACCGAAAAGTATGTACCTTTATTAACATCGCAAAAGCGTAATTGTTTTCGGTACAGCGTTTTTCTTCATCGGTGAACGATGTTAAACTTCGCTTTATTTCAGGCCCAAACCCTTGTTCCGCAGAAGGTCTGCAAACACGAGCGACCAATCTAAGCGAAATAACAATCGAAAGGGACGTAGAATGTTAACCATGTTGAATATACCTGAGACTGGGGTAGAAAAGAACATAAAAGTCGAAGAAACAGAAAGGGACAGACGTCGTCCTGTCCCTTTCTGTTTCTTCGACTTTTTTCTTCCCCAGTCTCAGGTATATTCAACATGGTTAACATCCACCAGCTCGCCTGCACCCTTACTATTTTATAACGTAGAATGTGTTCAAGGTTCGCCAGCATTCCGGTGACGCTTGTATATTGCTAATATATTAGTCCTTTCACATATATGAAAATGTCCCTGTCGTGCATTTTTACGAGCGGTTCAAAACATTCAAAGCGTTAATAATGAAGTACGTAGTCTCTGAAAGGTGGCTCTTTTTATTATTTCCTATGCCGGGCAACGTTTAATGCAAAAGCATTAACTGTCCTATGGAGCGGAGCCGGCTGCGTCTGTAACCGCGAAAAACGGCACTTAAATTGACTGCGACGCGTTTAATCAGATGCTTCGGCACGGAAGCCGGCGCGGCTGCTCGAGGTGAAAGTGGACGCGCCTCGGAAATAAAAAAAGAAAACACAAAGAAAAGCACATCAACGCAGATGCCTCGTCACGGAAGCCGGCGGGGCGCTCAAGGTCAAAGCGGACGCGCTCGGAAACAAAGCACAAAGAAAAGCACAGCAACGCATTGCTTTGTCACGAAAGCCGTCGTGAAGCCGTCAAGGTTCGCCGCGTCCTCGCAGTGGGGGACAGTGATGTCACCGCCGCAGTGCCGTGTGCGATAGGAAGACGTGGCGCCCTGCTTGTAAGAATGCGCTGCGTGTAGGAATGTTTTTACATTCCTACACGTTAGCAGGCTTAAGTTTCTCTACCGATTGCAGAGAGAATAAACCAATACTTACTTATTGTAAACTGTGCAATATTACCTTGGCCTTCGCTTTATTTCGATCGTCTACACGCACAAGGAGTTACTGAACCAGTGTTAGTACGTCGTTCTTGCCGTCTCTGTTTGTTTGCTACATGTCTTTCGTTCGCTTGGTACTTCAATCCCACCAGCAGAAAAGCGCCGACGCCGTGTTCGCGCTAATAGTGCCCGACATTGCATATAAATGCATCTATGAAGCTGTCCTAGCGATGTGTTTAATAAAATAAATAACAAAAACACCCTGTAACTGACCAATATTCTCATTTACCTGATGAGAAATGGTCCGAACTACGTTATAATTATTCGTAATATTTGCTCTTATAATCAAGCACATAGAAACAACGCACACGCTTTTTCCCCGTAGAATCGCGTTACCGGAAGTGAATGTTTGACTGGTTGCTGTGTATTTCGATTTGCAGCATCACACTAGGGCCAGCTGAACTTCTAGGGTACATTATAATAACTCTATGCTTTCATCCTGCCGCGCGCCCGCCGCCGGCCATGCTACGACGACTTCTGGATTCTTGCGGAACGGCCAGGAGGCTGCCACGGTCGGCCATTTTTACCTTAGTCTTCACTCGGAGCTCTTTTTGAGGCCATGGTTTTCAGTTTTTAGGCTCACGGACGACATCAGCGATGACGTCGTCTCGCTAGAGAGAGAGAGAGAGAGAGAGAAAAGGGGGCGGGGGGTTGCTGGGCCACGCCTATTCGCGAAGGGTTGCACCATTCCGATTGTTTTCTTTACACGCTTACAACTTTTCGACCTATCTCGAGAGTGTTTATCTAAAGAGTCTCGTGTTTTACTCATTTATTAATTATTTGGATTTTCACGAAGCGAGATGATAAGCCCTGCCCCACGTTTCTTAAGCTGTCGGTGTCAAAAGAAGACAAACCACCTGCGAAAGAGATAATTTGGCTCGCTCCATTAGAGGCATCCATCAGATCTCGCGTTTAGCGGCGTCAAAAAGCGAAACCCTGCTATCTTTCTTATTGTAACAAAAACCAACAAACAATATTAATTCCTCCGTTGAATTAAACGAGAAAACTAACAAACCTATAACCGTGCTTTATGCAAGCTTTGGCGCTTGGTGTCGGAATGCTAGCAGATGTATGATAGGGGATATGGTGGATCGGTAAAAAAAATTATACAACAAAGATGCGTATATACGCGATGCATACCGTGTGTTTCTTTTTGTTTTAGAAACAACAACGTCGAATATGGTTACGAATACGATCGCCTTGAGAGACGTGCTAAAAGCTACCGCGGCCGCCACGAGATTTGGAAGTCGCCGTCCGAGAGAGTTTTTCCGTACGACAAGGTGAGAAGACAGGAACTCCTATAGCGTTGCGAGGGAGCACGACACATACCTGAAAACCGGAAAACAACTGCTTGTGAATGAAAACATGCGCATGGACACGTCACTGTTTGTAAATCCGCCACGACGGCGAAGCTGACAGGAGCTATAGGCGGCGCGACGTGGATCCAAAATACTCACCGACAGAATGGAAACGGCAGAACATGCTTTTTTCGAGCGCCCCGCTTCCAGCACACGCTCCATGCTTTCGCCATGCTTTGGGTGCGCGCCCACACGCGCCCACACGCGCTCACTCGAGGCGCACGAGACGATGAAGCATTGCCGAACGTTGGAAGCTTGCGCTGGAGGCAGGACATACTGAAGCTCCTCCCTGCCGTTCTCACCTTGCCAGTGACTACAGTGATGACGTACGTGTATGTGAGAAGGGCGCAAGTTGTTTTATATAGGGAGTATTCACTGGTGGCCATAGTTGTGTGCACGCGAGGCAGGTCTTTTGCAACGTTCATTCCGCACCATCAAGATTGCCGGTCTTAGACAGCCTACTAATGTCAGCTCGTTCTGAGCATGTGCACTGAACATCGCCTTTGAATATGACGTCAGGCGAATACCCTCTATAGGTGGTACTGCTACCGGTGAAACTGGGCTAAAAAACGCGCCAGACTCAACCATTATGCAGCATTCGAGTTTTTACGAGTCCTCAGCCCGGCGTACGATCTCCTCAGTCCAGCACGCGCATGCCCGTCGCTTCGGAAAGCGAGCAAATCACGTGCCGCACCCATGAACACTGAAAATGAAACCGTCCCGGAGCCTTTATTTATTGTGGAAAGTATAGACCTTTCCAATGTTTACAAAATCACAGTTCAGCGTGCGATCTTCCCAGCCCAGCACGTGCGTCTTCGTCGCTTCGGAAAGCGAGCAAAGCGCGCGCTATACGCGCGAACACTCAAAATGGCACCGGCCACACGCTCTTTTAGGAAAGACCTTATATAAGCATGACATCATGTCTGCAGGTGGCCGTAGACTGCGATTCACGTGTCGCGTGCACGCGAAGACACCTTTGGTAACCCTGCAATCGCACGTGCTTGCCCACTCATGGAGAAAAGCGGATGGGGGGATTCTTCTTCTTCAAGCGACGTTCTCGAGCGGGAAAACCTCGTGAACAAGCGACGCGCAAGAAGTACCATCGCCACCTATATGCTGACAACGCCTGGCAGATCGCCACGAGAAGCGGCCGCCGAAATGGAAAAGGTGGAGCGCCAGACAACGGATCAGAGGAGAGCCACGTGACTGGCGCCCCGCTGCGGCGAGACGCCGAAGCACACTTCTACCGAGCGAAGAAGTATGTTTCGGGTCCTCGCCGCTGCAAAAGCCGTGCGCGCACGCCCAGCTTCGCCGAGAAATGGCCCTTTATGATGCACCCAAAATCAGCGGCCGGTCACTCTATGGCTTCGTCGTCGAACTGCGAGGCTTTGTGAGTATTTGGGAGGCTATGGAAGTACTGACACTAGTGGTCTCGCAAAGGCGGAGGGTTTTCCCCCGCTCCCTTTACGAAATGCAGCAGACGCTATAAATATAGTACACGCGCACGGAGTCCCTCTACAGAGTAATGAAGGACGGTAACTGGTACAGAAAAAAGTAAAAAAAAAAAAAAAAAGACCGTAGGCCAGTTCTGATTGTTTTCTTAAAAAGATTACAAGAAGGAGACTCCGAGTTAATTTATAAGAAATGACAAATAAAATACGAACGTTTGACCAGATAGAGGGGTGGCATCTTTATAGACATGTGTGCTTTTTGGCTATTCTTGGGGTTTTACTCTGGAGTAGATTTTTTTTAATGACCTCCCCCGGCTTTCGTAATATTTTCGCCTGAAAAAAGTCTATACACAGGAAAGCTAGATTGGCTTTGCCGGAAATGTAGGTGTGCCACTGAGCGTCAATTACATACATAAAAGCATTTTTTTTACAATATTTGATGTTTTCAATGTCTCTAGGAAGCCCAGAAAGTATATTTTAACCCCGTATTTGTTCGCTTTCAGGAGTTCCAGTTCCAGCACGTTGGGATGCATAGAATCTCGAACCCTGAGGGATATTTACAAAAAAAACTTTTTGGCGCGGACGTATGCGGAGACGTACGGTCGTCTCGCAGGGGAGGTGACTACATTCCAACTAGAAGAACTTCACAGCATTTTTATATCAGGTACATTGTGTTCAGCGTTCGCAATGATAAATATATTCATGTTCCAGAGTCGTACAGATATACCTCCCGAGATTACCGATGGAAGAACCCGTAGATTCGCTAGCTATTCTTGTGCGTTAAACGTACGAGCGCGTTGTATTTACGACTTAGCGACACTATAATTCTGGCGACGCCGGAGTCTTTATCGACTGCGATGTATTACTTGAGAAGTCGGAGAACTGTCTTCGAACAAGTGATTCGTCGATTTTGTAAAGCCGCGATCAGTCTGCTCGCACGTAATGAAATAACGTACGAGAAATGAAAACGGAAGGTTATTTCGTAACTCTAACGTTACGACAAACGTTAGTGCGGGCGCCATTTCGAATACCAGAAAACTCGCACAACCTTCATTTATTTTATTTATTTATTTGTAACCTTCCGGCTTCTTAGATGTTCGCAGAACAAGATCGCTGTTTTATTGCAGAGAGAGTTCGCAGGAGGCACATGGAAAGCATGCACGGCGCGGACATCCCATATCATGAGTAGCGATCGTTTCGATCAAGCCATCTCGTTTGACACACTGACGCATAGTCAAGAGCAAACGCAAATAGGAAGAAACGAAACTCTGAAAAAACTCTCGGACGAAGGGCTTTAGCTCAGTTTCCAATCTAACAAATAAATTTCTTCAAAAACACGGGTAACGATGGCATTCTCGTATACGCTCGCTTATCAGAACGCTACACGAAAAACGCCTCAGTTGCGAATTAGAAGTGGCTATAGTTGCGCACTGCTAAAATAACAAGAAGCTTCAAATAGATTTGAAAATTGCTGAATTTACGCTAGCGTAACTTGCGCAGCGCACTGAACACCCGCGAAGCGAATGAACGGGCTGGTGACGCGGCAAGTATACGGAGGGAGAATGGTCAAGGTAATCGGGAACTAACTTAACATGATTCCTCAATAAACAGGACACAGTCCGAAATACTGCCTAGCGGATGACTTCAAACTCAATAAGACGGTCATGCGTTGGAGGAAGCCAAGAACCAAGCACACGAGCGTTAGGTCTCCGGCGTTGGTTAGGCTCGAAGATGGCGAAATGAACGTGGCCACGGCATCCGCGTGGCGTGTCAGTGACGTAGTTAACGAGCTGTCAACGAGGCCAAGTCAACCCCCGGACATCTTCCATAGGGCCAATGGAGTCGAGTTTTGTACAGTAGCGCCGAATTCCTCGTCCGTGGTGGGGGGCTCTCATTACTTGAACGAGTTAACTTATTATTTTATATTCTGTAAATTGTAAAATTATATTAAGAGCTAACCATGCTATTAATAAAATATCTGGCTTACTATTCAAAACGACTTCTATATACACGTTTGGGACGTAGTAGCCTACTTTGAAGCCGTTTCTAAGCCAAGCCGTAAAGAATCCAACATGGCGCCTTTTTATTTTTGTAGGGTGGTTCTCGTATGGATCGCTTCGGGGTCGTGCTGGAGCCTGGATCCAGGCTCCTGAGCATCACGCCCGGTCCCGGTAGTGTAATAATAGGGACTTTTAGCAAACCGTGTTCCGCGTACCGCACTATCGGAGCCTTTGAAGCATGCTTTTAAGTGCGCGCCCCGCTGTCACGGTATCACACCGGGTGCGCGCCTATAAAGCATGTTTCAAAGGCTCCGATAGTGCAGTACGCGGAACACGGTAACAGTTCGCTAAAAGTCCCTAACGTAATATACGATGTGCGATTTCGCTTTCAGCTGTATAAGGTGCGTAGTCATGTGTTTTTGTTGTTCCTCTGTTTCGAGGCGTCTTGGCCTCCAGTAAGGAATCCAGAGCTGCGACCGAAATATTTGGAGGCACATTTATTGCACAGATGCTAAAACGGAATTAAGTACAGCACTGCACCTGCATACGCGCGAAAATAAAACATTGACAAAATCATTTCATCAACCTCGCCCACAAGCTCCAGTTTCACATCGCCAGCACCTCTGTCATCTGTGCGCGATCTCATCACTTCATTATTACATGTGGCGCCGCACATCTTCTTGGGAATGGGCTTTATCACTAATTTTATCACGATCACTTCTTGGGAATGGTCACTAACATATATCTTTACAAGTGTACACATTGACCCACATAATTACGCATTCAACATGCCAAGTTGGATCAGCTGTTCACTGAAAGTAAAGTTGTTCACTGATTTAAGAAATATAAGCCACTTGGGTGGCCCCCAGCAATCATTAGCTTCATTTTTACATATTCAAAGCTTCTCACGCAAGCAAGATGAAAATGTGAAATAAAGCTTCGAAAAATGTTGGCACTCAACAGGCTGTATAACTGGTTGGGAACCACGAAGTGTCCGAAGCTTTCTTCCTCCTTGAGACAACGTTCAAATGCTCGTTCCATATGTCCCAGCATCTGTAATGACAATGTGGTCATGATGTTTAAAATTTTAAACTGATTTAAAACAAAACAAATGTATATCTACAGAGAACAAACTAATGACATAATGCCGTTGTTGCACCCAGAACCATGCAGAAATAAATGAAACTTCAAATTAATATATAGGAAACCTCATTCTTTTTATTATCCTCCGTCTGTTCGAGGACCGCCGAAGACCATTTTCAAGATTAAACTCAATTGTTACACTTTAAATAAGCAGTTGTGCACAAATCGAAGTGGGGCTAAGTGTATACCATTAACTTCATTAAAACCGTACTTGTTCGGGGGAAAGCATATGTTTTTACTGCGAGAACGAGCCTGCAAACTAACAGCTATGGGCAGCAAAAGTTTAATGGTAAGTTCGCTGAGCAAATAAAACGGAGTACGGGAGATAGATACTCACCGGCCTTTTCTTGAAAAAAAAAAATGAACGAACAAAAACTTCTGGTCTTGGCATGTGCGCTGTTCGTGCACCATCGGGATATGGCCACGTAAAATGCACCTCTCAACAGTCTGAAAGTTCGCACCAAAATATCCATCGAGTTCGACAGGCGCGCGGAACGCCGGAGCGCGAAACCACGCTCGCACGACCCCTGGGTAAACAAAACCACGCGACGCCGCCGTCCGCCGTTACGAAGTTTCAAATTTGGGCGAGGGTAGAGCGAGGGCGGGGGAGGAGGCAGCGGCGCCTTCCAGGGCACCGGCGAGGCCAGCGGGTCGGTTTTGTTTTTAGACCGAAAACAGAACGAGCAGAAAGAAATATATAAAATAAATTGCATTTTATTTTCATGGTGCAGTGAAGACGTTTCGTTGAAATTACTGTTAGCGAACAAAGTTCCATATTTGTATTTTTGTATTAATGAGAGCCCCCCACCACCCAAGCGCTGCTGCCGGTGGCGACGCTATACACAGCGCCGCTGATGGTGGCGACGCTAATGTCAGCGCCGCGAAACTGGGACTGTGACCGGGGGTTGATAAAACTGACAAGCTGCACAACGCGGCCTCTTACAAGCGAAGGGAAGTGTGTGAACCGGCTTTTAGTAAACCGGAATGATGTTTTATTCAATATTAGAAAAACGTCAAGTGTGCAGTTGATCGCCATGAAGCTGGGCCGACAGGAAACTCTGTTCTGATTTCCACAGGTCTAGCTCACGGGGGGACTCTTTTGGAAGTGGGCAGCGGTCCTTTGGTCTGGTGCTCACTCTTGGCCTCCAGTCGATTCAAGCACATCGTGCTGAGCGACTTAGTCGAAGGAAATAGGCTCCAAATCGAAAAATGGCTCGACAAGGATAAAGATGCCGTAGACTGGACCTTCCGTGCAGAGCAAGTTGCTGCCTTGGAGGGATATAGGTACAGTAACGCGGTAATTTAAAGGCAAAGTCACTTTCCCGCGCATATGGATTCTCTTTGTGTTACAGAGCCATATTTTCCCAGAAAGGGCGTTACCGCATAACGACATGCCATCGCATCTAAAATGACTATATCTGGTTATTGCTTGTATATGGTAGTCCTCACAATTTCCTAGAGAGCAAGTTTAGAAGGCAAGAGGAAAATCTTAGGCCCAGCAGGGCAGTGAAGACTATAGGCATGACATCGCGGCTTTGACAGGCGGTTTAAAGGGACGAGCCCTTGTGCTGCGAGGATGCACATTTAAAGCCAGGCACTCGTGCAATCATGGGATTATCTCTCACAAAAATCAGTTGGAACAGAGTAAAAAAAGCATGACGGATAATAACCGTACATGATAATCGCACGTTTGTATATTGAACGACTGGCTATATGTTTTGTTCCAAACGGTGCACTCGAGCAAGCACTCGAAGAAAAGCGAACGGAGAGCGCGATGCGTCATAAAATATCTGGAGCAAAAAAAAAAAAAAAAAGATTCCTTGCATTTGTGGCGTAGCAAGGCTGGCGCGGTTATGACCTTTGCCGTTGGTGATGGTGTCAGCGTCGTGGTGGTGTCAATAGCGTCAGCGCGTTACAACCGATACGTCAGATGTACCCGTGGGATGACGAGCGTGTGGCTGGCCTAAGGAGCACGTAGCTTCCACAGCACTGTCAGCTTAGGCGTGAACGGGATGGAAAAATAAACTTTTGTCCGAGTTTTGAGCGACGGGCTAATCTTCTAGGAGGAGAATGGCGGTATCCCCGGGTACACAAACGGGGGTCCGAGCAAAAGGAAAGTCCCTCCTTTTCGACTCTTGAACTGTTTAGTACAATGTGCAATTTGTGACTTGAGAAAGAAAGCTGAGAAAAAAAGATCGTTTCATGACCGCTTTAATGAGTTGAGCGTACTTCCAAAGAGCGGCACTGCTCTGATGTTTAGTGCGGAACTTGCTTCGTGATGGACCTACGTAGCAAGATCCCTAACGTTGCTAGATTACCTCCCAACTAAGCATCACAGGCATCCACGAGGGGCACATTGAAATATCATTTAATTAGCTTTAAATTTAGTTTTCTGTGCCTTTCAACGAAAGGTTGGTGTTTTTGAGGTTATGCTGCAACATGCAACCTATTTTAGTTAGAAAATGAGCGCTGAAATTTCGTTTCCGTACCCCTTTAAAGGGATGTTACAAAAAATTTCGGCGCTTATTTCTTGGTCTATTCGTGTTCAGTGGAGCATTATCACACCAGACACACCAATCTCTTGTTGAAAAAGACACGAAAAGGAATTTTGAAACGAATTAAACGATTAGCAAAGAGCAGCTGGTGGATGTCACTAACGCCTCGTTTGTAATGCCCGTCTAAGATGCTACAACAAAATTTCGGCACTTATTTCTTGGTCCATTCGTGTTCGGTGGAGCATTATCACATCAGACACGCTAATCTTTTGCTGAGAAAGACATGAAAAGGAATTTTGAGACGAATTAAACGATTAGCAAAGAGCAGCTGGTGAATGTCGCTAACGCCTCGTTTGTAATACAATGGATAGGAAGTGACGGTAACTGTCTCGCCTCCGGCCACGACGAGAGAAGAGCTGAAAAAGGAACTCCCCTCGCCACGAAACTTTCTTTTGTGTGCTCCAGAAGTCGCTATTGTCTTTCCACAAGATTATAGAAGATTAACCCGTCACTCCACATTCGTACAAGCACAGCTTTGGAGTTACTTGTGGTGGCCCGATCGCTGGCGTGCTTCGGCTGCTTTCAGCGCATGCTACGAGCCATCGGGGCCTACCCAAGGCCGTGTGAATGTAACGTGACCTTGGAGAGGGGCACAGCGAAGCGCGGAAAGCGTATTACGGGCTACGTCCACAGAGCGGGATCGGCTGAATAGTTCGCAGCGCCCGCTGCGTCCGGACCTAAGGTCCCGAGACAAACTGCGTCAGAATTGCGGCGGATGTGACTTACTCTCCGCTGGCCACTTTCCGAGCGTTTGCCAGAGTGGGCCGTTTATAACGAAACATGCAGTTGTCAGGCTCATAGGACAAACGTGCGATTGACATTTACGGATATTGTGGATCATATTCAGCCTGTTTGTGAACACGACGGTTATATTTCAAGTTTTGTTGAAGTATCCGTTTAAGACTGCTTACGTGTAGGAATGCGAAAGCATTATAGTCCCGCGGGTGAAATGTTTTGCTCCGGCGGTGACATCACGCTCTTCCACTGCGCAGGCGCGCCGCCCCCGCCGGCTTCACGGCTTCCGTGATGAAGCATCTGCATTGCTGTGTTTTTCTTTGTGTTTCATTTTTGAGGCGAGTCTGCTTTAGCCATGAGCGGCGCGTGCTTGATGACGTATTTTTGTGGCCATCTTTCGGGCACAACGCCGACGCCGCCTTTTCCCGTAATGGAACATATAAAAAAACTTGGAGGACGCTTAAGCTTCGCCTTTAGGAGTGGAACGCTATGGCATTCTCGGGCCCCGTTCACATCGCCTTCTCATTTGCTTCTAATGCTCTTCCTGCCAGTGAGCAGGAAGTGTCGAATCCCACGTAAACTTCTAAGTTTTATTTAAGGCAAATAAAGTACTTTATAAAGTGAACTCATCTGAGATATGCGACGACCCGTAATTCGCATTACATGTCATGTTTTTTTTAAACACTTTCATTCCCCTCGTGACGTCATGTTTCACGTGACCGTTGTGGGTTGTTTGAAATTCCCGTGCGAGGTCATGTGGCTGTGACGTCATGACCCTATCGACGAATCAGGAGTTTCCTGTGATGTCATGACCTTATCGACCAATCAAGAGTTTCCCGCCACGTCACCGACGCCGACGCCGGCTTTTCTGCGACATGAGGTCCTTAACACTATCGTGTTAAAGAAACGGTCGTCGGATTGCCATGACACAAGCTTTATTCTTTTTAAGGTTCATTAAAATATTAGGCGTTCCGGAAGGAAATGACGGTGTGTCCGGATGAGGTGCGTGCTCGGGCTTTTTCGCCGTGCCTTTTAATATGCGGATAATTAAAAAAAAGTTCTTTATAAGGACTTCACTTAAACAAATGTCAATTTTCATTTAATTTAATTCTATTACTATTTTTTCAGGGCCAAAGGCATTACGGAAAGGAGAGAGCACTGCTACATAAACATAACAATAAAACAAATTAAGAGTAGAAAACAAAATTAGTATGAAACATCATGTAACAAATTAGTAATTGTTTTATGAAAATCAGCGGTGTTAGTAACTGCAACTTTGACTGCGAGAAGGCGATATTAAATAATGTATTTGGTATGGAGGCATTGTAGGGATACATACATTTATCTGATGATTAGTGAGTGACGATGTGATATGTTATGGTATGTTCAGCGTGACGATATAGGCGAGATATTTTTATTAGAAGGGAAAGATTAGGCAAGGATAGGGCGCTTTCATATATGTGATGTAGCTCTGCGGTGATTGCTAGAAAGTATAAAACGAGCGGGAGTGATTTTGGATGGATTCCACTGCAGATGGAAGGGTAATACCAAAGTCCCAGATTGAAGCTGCATATTCAAGTTTAGTACGAATTGAATTTTTATATTGAATATGTTTTAATACATGGGGGGCGGGGGGGGGGGGCAAAACAAAAGTTCGCTTTGACGCAATCCTACAGTTGATTAGCGTGGTTGGTGACGTAGTTTGCATGACTCTTCCAGGAAAGATAATTAGTTATGTTATTACAGATTTATTTATAGGACGGTACACAATAAAGGTAATAGAATTATTGATGAAGAAGAAGAAAAGCGTCAGTTTGATGAGAGACACTCAGGGATCTACATTATGAGGTATTAAGTTCAGTATGCCAGTAATTGTACTATTGCGTAACATTGTTAATTACCGCCTGAAGCACATAAATATCTGAACTGTGAATTTTTTTTATTGAACAGTGGCCAGCAAAAAGACTAATAGAAGAAGGCGCACGGATAGGAATTTCATTAAGATAAATCAGGAAGAAGTGTGCACTTAGTACTGAACCTTGTGGGACACCTGGGTTAGTACGTTAAGATGAATAATTATATTTTATGGGCGCGAACAAATTGGATACGTTTATATTTGAAAGTAATCTTCGCTAGTCTTATCAGAAAAACATGTTTTTAACTATGAATGTGGCTAACCTGTAGATCTTAAGAAAAAAAGAACACCCCTCCCCCCTCACAACTGTTAGATTGTCGATTTTTCTGCGAGTGTCTGTACTGAGTGTAAGCCGTTATATAGATTGATCACCAATTTTTCGATTTGCTTTGCAGCGACATCAAGCAAGGGGCGTTAGAAATACAGAAGCGTACAAGGTCCTCCATCCGCAAGGTGATTCCCTGTGACGTCCTGGAACCCGGAGTCCTGCCCGAGGAACATAGAGAAACCTTCGACGTCGTTCTTTCCTGCAATTGCCTGGAATCGGCCACAACAGACCACGAGTGTTTCCAAAGCGCGGTTTGCAACGTGGGAACACTCGCGAAGCCCGGCGGTCTGTTTGTCCTCATGGGCGTGGGTGGTCCGAAAAGCTATCCCGCGGGAACTGCTGACTTTAATCAGGCGTATGTCACTGAAGATGTGATCAAGCGAGCCGTGACAGATGCAGGCTTTCAAATGGGACTATACAGAACTAAAAACATTCAGGTTGATTCTGAGATTCCTGATATGTTCACGTTTGTACTGGCAGCTCGCCAACACTGAGTCGGCCCTTTGCATTGTCCCTCACTTCGTGCCATATTTCTTTCCTAGTCCTGGCCTCAACCTCCCCCCCCCCCTTCCCCGCCCCCCCCCCCCCCCCAATTCAAAGCTGGAAAAATAAAGGTTTGAAACTTTCTTTCTTAATTTGAAATGTACCCGAATCAGATCAAATTTTATCGGGTTGATGTTTGAAGCCAGAGCCGAAAACTTTGAGGGAAATTCACCATCCATAAGCTTAATAAAGAGATATGAGTACTGGTGCACTCGCCAAGGCATCTTGACCTTCCGCCTTAGTTGACCTTCCGCTACTGCTTGGGGATTTACTTTTTATCGAAATGATTTTAAATAAAAATTGTATTAGTAAAAAGTAAAAACATTGTTTGTAATAGTTTTAGTCATTGAGAAAAATGATAAAACAGCAGATTTTTTTTTATATGGTACTGGCAAGCAGCTTCGTGTCACATAATGAAGAGTCTTGTTGAAACTAAGAAATATGACAAGATTCTTGTTGAACGCTACACAAGGAATTATCAAACGATACATTAAGGTTCTTGTCGTTTGGTAAGTCAACGGGAGCAACAAGTCTAGAGATCCAACAATCTGAGAGGTATAATATTGAACCTTTTGACTCGTCGAATCTCTTGACTCAAAAAAAATCGTCTTGCTTCACGGGACCCTTTTTCTTTCTCTCACCATTCCCTTTGCCGTGAGCCTGCCCATCGCGGCAGCGCGTAACTCCGAACTCAGATTCTGACAGCCGAGGCAGTCCCTGATACTTCAGATTTCACCCGACGAGAGCGTTTTGGCGAGTAAGTCAATAAACATGTCTCCCATAGATTCACAGTTTTGCTGTGAATCTATGCTGCTTGTGTTCTTTCCCCACAGTAGCCTTAAGGCACCTATCGGGCGGTCCCTGCTGCAACCCTCCAAAGTTTGAGCTACGAAATCGGTTTTAGGAATTTCCTGTATGTAACAAAAAAAAAAAAAGAAAGAAACACAACGTTTTTTTTTTGTCTCATTGCACTATATATTAAAATGCCTACTAAATAAACCTCATTACCGAAATATAGGAAATATTTCTTGAGTTCTCGTGGACCGAGTTGTACATTCGTATGCCGTAAGTAAACATGAATCAAATTTTATAGTGATGATACTTGGATATTTTGTGCAAAATATATTAGGCAAATTGTACGAGTTTTCCTAAACTCACAAGAAACTCCTCTTTCATTTATCGCATACCAGCCTTTACAACCTCTGCGTTTACTTTGGACTTTTTCTCAAGCTGCTGATGCTTTCTCGTAAGTCTCCCTTGCACTCTCGGGCACAAAGCCTTCGAAGGCTGCGAAAAACTCAGACATATTCATGGACGCTTGTCTGCCGGGCCACATGCACCACACACTTCCATAGTGGCGTACAGACTGACGACATCACTACTTTAATCACCGCACCACCTACCAGCATCTCGCACTTTATCCTACACGTCGGGACGAACAACCTCAAACACTATGACACCACACAAACCATGAAGGACATCACAACTTTTGTCTAAATTATTTAGGGTATGGCGCCTGGGATGCGACTCCGACTGGTCTATTTAGCGTCCCACACACCCACACATCAAAAGTGACCCCGATGTGACAAAAAATGACATAAAAGAAGTCTGCGTTTTATGCTGTCAGATGTCGTGATCCTGTCGGTATATTGCTAAAAGTTTTAATAAAAAGTACGGGCGACCACGACTGTCACCGTCTTCGCGGAGTCCTAGCTTCCATTGTTGCTAAGACATCTGTGGACTGTCAAGATGGAGAGCGACCTGCAACAGAACGAGCATCTGCCACTTTCACCATCGATGCTGTGGCACCGCCAGGATCGCGGCCGGCGACATGACACAACTATAACATCATCAGGCGGAAACCGAGGGATTACTGGTAAACACACCAATTGGAGACGCGTTCCAGGCATAATAATCCAGACCAACATTCCAGGTCCAGATATCAGCTTGAAAACAATCTTTCCACGACTAGAGAACATATACTTGTCCCTCATCCACCAGATCATCAGACCTCTATACTTTGTTTCACTTTAAGTACAAACGCAGCCGACGCTACGAGCTTATATAACCAATTAGACAGCGTAAAAAACAAGAGCAACATCATGGTGTTTGTTATGTTTCTGTGCCTGTCCTATCATCTCTCAATAACTTGTAAATCAAACTGGCAGATGTATTAGTGAGAGATTCCGTGAGCATGCTTTACCTTTTCGGTAGACGGGGGGCAATTGGATTCCAGCCCGACTCCCACACGTCACGATAGCCAAAAGGGGCGAGAATTAGATGCCCAGAGAAATGTTAGAGGCGTACACAGTTACGCAAGTAGAAGGAACAGAGCATTGCGTAAGCAAACCTTCGGTCCTTCTGCATAGCAGGGAGATTAGTCATATGGACACGTGCTGATCGGCCATGATGGCGTAGTTCGTTGGGGGTTGCTGTTGTTTATTTCAGTGCTTGTTTTCCAGTAAAACTTTAGTTCAAGGTTAGCTCTTATGTTGTGTACACCCTTCTACGTCTTCGTTTTTTGTGCCCTGTGTCAAGTTTACTTAGTTCTACCATTGCTGAACTAGCATGAAGAAATTTTCCAATTTTCCGTTCGAAGGGGGGGGGGGGGGGGGGCGATGGGGGGGCTAGAATTCGACGTACCTGTTTACGATTTCCCTCCCCCCCACACACACACGCACACACAAAATTAGAGGATGTCCCCGAGAAAAAAGAAACCATTAATGTTATTTTATACAAAACTAAATTCCCAGATTGCTGAGCGTTTAGTTTCCGTCGAAATGTACCCCTGGCGATACGCACCACACGCCAAAGTTCGAGGACAAATCGTGATTTGATTAAAATATTATAAGCGCTTTTCGAAAATTTTCTATGGTAAAATGGCGGCCGACGGAGCCCACGTGTGGATGGGACTGAACGGCGCAAACTAACAGCACAGGGCCCCATTTTCTCATTAGAAGTATAGGAAAATTACGTGACTTTCGAATAAGGTAATTGTTTTGTTCTTTAAGCGCACTCCCGCGCTTCCCAGGTGCTTCAAGTAGTCCTGCAATGAATACAATGAAGTGGTCAAGGGCCTTCGATGAGTCTGAGCAAGTTTCTAAGTGGAACCATATATCTATTTCCATTAGGTAAAAAGTGAAGTTTAACTATTTTTTTTTGCTAATTAATATGTTAGTTTACAATACATTGACGTCGTCAATCCCTGGCCGGTTGGGGGAAGGGGGGGGGGGGGGAGCCCGGCGTGGACATGGGGAGGGGGGGGGGTGCTTAACTTCTCCCAGAAAATTTGAATGGGGGGGGGGGGGGAGTGGGGTAGGGAGGCACTTTTGCGGGCGGCTTGATCGGCTCCACCAGATAGTAGAGTCAGCTGCGGCCGGACTTAATGCGAAACCAAGTGTAGACTCAACGTGTCCAACTTCAACACAGGATCAGGGCATCGAGGACCTGAGGCGTGATTCAAGAAAATAATAGACGAATAAACAAACCGTGTTGTTCCTCTTTGCATACCAACTCCCGATCGTTTTTGCGACAAGACATAGATATCTCGGCATGGATGTGTTCGGATCTCATGAATATCTTCGGCTAAAAAAACGAAGGGTGCACCTTAAGTGCCGTAGCGTCCGATTTACAGGCCGATTTGGCCAACCTATTCAATGCGACTGCTTAGGTCAAGAACAGTATCAAACAGCCGAACAATTACGTTTCAAAATGTTTAAAGAAAAAGCAAAAAAAAAGAATTGAAATATATGTGAAATCATTTGCTAAATAACGGGAAAGAGAAATCTTCGTTCCGTCGTTCAATCACGACGACGGTGTTTTCACAGGAATAGTCATAAAGCTGAACAATTTAATATATATATTTTTTTGTTCTTGTCTAGTTGTTCTGCACAATGGTGGCATTTTATCCGATGCTTCAACTGTGGCTGGCGGCATTCCGTCGATTGCATCGCGGTACAGGGGATCGGAAAACGTTTAAATGAACTGAACGTCCCTATTGAAAAAGGTCATTATAAACTCGGCTTATTGGAAACATTTTATTCCAGTGAAGTCGGTGGAAACCAATAAAAACTTATTGTTATCTAATTAACCCAATACGCGTGATGTGAATTCATATCGGAGCACAATATCCCGATATAATATTCTGTTATTGGTATACAACAGGATATAGGAGCAAAACATCCCAATCACGGATGGGCAAAATACATGCAAATATGTATCGAAATACAAATACAAAACACTTCGTCAAAAAGGTGTTTAATCACAAATCTAATTACATTTCCAAAAAGCATTTAAGTACAAGATAGAAATACAACCAAATGTATTTGGTCTCCTCCAAATACTTTTCCAAATACATTCCACAAAATTTGCGTCAGCGACTTCAGGGCACCTGCAACAGGTTTCCGGGTATCTCATTTTAATTTTGCATTGAAAACTCCGGAGTTAGTGTGCGAGGCTCTAGTAATGTAATAGAAATATAATCACAAAAAATGTAATCAGCTTGGACGTAATAGGTAAAAAAAGTACAGAGCTTCAAGCAGCTTTTTTTTTTTCGATTACATTTTGGTATAGACCAACAAAGAACCGAGAAGTCCAAGACGCGCAGCACTAGCTAGAGAATTTTTTTATTGTTGCAACTCGCACCAGTTACGAAGATCTGGACGACCCGCGCATTTAGAATGTTTAAGGCAAAAATATGAAGGGAAATCAGGCTGGAAACTTCATCACAAGTTGTCACAGGCACTTATTTAGCCAGTCTGCCTGTGAACGTCGATTTGGTCACTATTCTTGCCCTGGACTAGCACCGTAATCACAAAGTCACTAAACGCTTGTGCTTGATTGAGAGACACTGCATTCGGTGCAGAACGTAGTTTTCTTCCTGCTCTGGACAGTGACAATAAATTTGAGGGATGTATTTTGGCTCACAAAATTGTATTTAATTAATATTGTA